TGGATTTGGTAACAAAGCCATGTCAGCAGTTTTTATTACACTAACAGTCAATTCTTTTTGTGGAATTTTACAACTATTAACCAGAATATATATTCTGGACTGGAGTGTCTTTTCAGTTTTTGGTGGAAGTGTTTGTTGATAACTGTGTGCCACTTTTGTTGTTATATTTTGTATTAATTATATGTATTAAATCAGCACTTGTGATGGTTATTTTTGTGTATTACAATGTCCATCAAAGTATGGTATATTCAGTCAACAAGTAAGGTGATGTTAGGTGGAAGTTGTTGGCTAGAAACATGGTAGAAAAACTTTTGTAATATACATATATATTTAGAACCAGTCGATTATGTATGTGTGGCTGATTATTTTCATATTAGTTTTCAAGTCTTTCTCTTCCACTTTGTGAATCATATTGCATCAGTGGTATCAGAGCCACTTTGGCCTTAGAACACGAAGAAATGAAGAAGGGCAAACTCTGGTGAGAAAATCAGAAAACAACTACATATAACCCAGTAAGTGTGAGTAATGGCTTTTGGTGGTTTCACGGCTCTTTTGCCTTCAATATTTGCTGGAGAAAACTATGATTTTTGGGCTGCAAAGATGAAAGCATATTTGAGAGCTTATGATTTATGGGAAATCACAGAAAATGACACTGAACCTCCACCACTTAGAGCAAATCCACAATTACACAGCTGAAGCAACATAGTGAGTAGATTGCTAAGAAATTTAAGGATCTTTCTTGCATACAATCTGTGTCTCGAATGCTATTTTCACAAGGATTATAACTTGTGAAACTGCAAAAGAAGCCTGGGATAGATTAAGAGAGGAATGTCGAGGCAATGAAAGGACAAGACGAATGCAAGTGCTGAACCTAAGAAGGGAGTTTGAAACTCTAAAGATGAAGGAATCAAAACCAAATCAGGTTGCTAAGTGATGACTTGCCAGACAGGAGAGTAGTAGAGAAGGTCTTGATCAGCTTGCCTTAAAAATTCCAAGCCAAGATCTCCTCACTTGAAGATTCCAGGGATCTGGCCAGCATGTCATTGTCTGAGCTAGTCAATGCTCTTCAAGCCACAGAACAAAGAAGATTGATCAGAAAAGAAGAGCAAGTTGAGGGAGCCTTGTTTGCTAAAGGAAAATGCAAAGCTCAAACTAGTTATGGGATGAAGAAACCATTTAATGACAAGAAGGGTGCTGAAGCCAAGATCTCCTCACTTGAAGATTCCAGGGATCTGGCCAGCAAGTCATTGTCTGAGCTAGTCAATGCTTTTCAAGCCACAGAACAAAGAAGATTGATCAGAAAAGAAGAGCAAGTCGAGGGAGCCTTGTTTGCTAAAGGAAAATGCAAAGCTCAAACTAGTTATGGGATGAAGAAACCATTTAATGACAAGAAGGGTGCTGAAAGCAACAAAAATTCTGGTGAAGGAAAGAAGTATCCACCATGTCCTCATTGCAAAAAGACGGGACATTCACCTAAATGGTGTTGGTTAAGGCCTGAAGTACAATGTAGGGCTTGCAAACAATTTGGTCACATTGAGAAGGTATGCAAAAGTAAGAAGGAGAAATAGGACCTGCAGTAAGCTCAAGTTGCTGAGATGAATATTTGTTCACAGCAACAAATTTTAATGTCTGCGGCAATGATGAAGCCTAGTTGCTGGATAGTGGATGCACTCACCATATGACATCCAACTTAAGCATCTTTATCAAGATGAATGACAAACTCACGTCAAGAGTTAAGGTTGGAAATGGTGAGTTTGTGGAAGTAAAAGGTGCTGGAGAAATAGCAGTGCAGACCTCAACAGGTACCAAACTCATATCAGATATTTTATATGTGCCTAATATTGATCAGAATCTGATTAGTGTTGGTCAATTGATTGAAAAAGACTACACACTTATATTTAAAGATAATAGATGCACCATACTTGATCCGCAAAATCAAGAAGTTATGAAAGTAGGAATGAGACATAGGAGCTTTCCATTGGAGTGGAAAAATGTAAGTGATCAAGCACTTGCAACCACAATAATCGAATCCTCCTTATGGCACAAAAGATTTGGGTATTCTAGCTATACATCACTTAAGCATTTGCATGATTTGAAGCTTGTGGAAAATATGCCTTAAATCAGCAACAATGATTGTGTGTGTGATGTATGTCAATATGGAAAGCAAACCAGGTTACCATTTTCAAAAAATCAAGCAAGAAGGACAACAAAGAAACTTAAATTGGTGCACTCAGATGTTTGTGGACCTATGAGGACCCCAACCATGAATGGCAGTAGATATTTCATCCTTTTCATAGATGATATGTCAAGAATGTGTTGGGTATATTTTTTGAGAATGAATTATGAGGTAGCAACTGTGTTTCAAAGGTTTAAAAATTTGATAGAAAATGAATGCAACAACAAGATCAAGTCCATCAGATCAGACAATGGAACATAGTACTGCTGTGGTCAGTTTGACAAATTCTGTGAAGATATGGGGATCAAACATCAGCTAACTATACCTTATTCTCCCCAGCAAAATGGTGTTTGTGAGAGGAAATATAGAACAGTTATGGAGATGGCCAGGTGTTTGATGTTTGAGAAAAATATACCTAAGGAATTCTGGGCAGAAACTATAAATACTGTTNGAACAGTTATGGAGATGGCCAGGTGTTTGATGTTTGAGAAAAATATACCTAAGGAATTCTGGGCAGAAACTATAAATACTGTTGTGTATTTACTTAATCGATTGCCCACAAAATCCTTAGATAAAAAGACTCCGTTTGAAGCCGGTATGAGATGAAACCTAATATGTCTCATCTGAAGGTGTTTGGCAGTGTATGCTTCATTCATATTTCTGATGTAAAGAGGGACAAATTGAGTCAAAAAGCTGAGAAAGGTGTCCTGGTTGGTTTTTGCAACAATGCCAAGGGATATAGAGTTTTTATTCCACAAAGCAAGAAGATGATATCCAGTAGAGATATCAAAATTGATGAGGGATCTGTATGGAATTGGGAAGCAGATTCAGTCACTCGACTTCAAAATCCTAGAACAACTCCACAGCCAGATGATGCTGATGATAATGAAGTAATAGAAGATGCTGAGAGTGACACAGATTCTGAAAATGTAGTGGTAAAAACTAGACCACTTGAAGACATATATGCTAGGTGTAATGTTGCTACTTTGGAGCCTTCAAATTACGCTGAAGCAGCAGGATCAAAAGAGTGGATGGCTGCAATGAAGGAGGAGTTAAATATGATTGAGAAAAATAGGACCTGGGAGCTGGTTGATAAACCAAAAAATAAGCATGTAATTGGTGTAAAGTGGGTGTACAAAACGAAGCTGAATCCAGATGGTTATGTTAACAAGTTTAAAGCCAGGCTGATTGTAAAAGGATACTCTTAACAATATGGAATTGATTTCACTGATACTTTTGCACTAGTAGCCAGGTATGAAAGAATCAGATTGTTATATGCAATAGCTGTTCATAGAGGTTGGAAAATCTACCAATTGGATGTTAAATCAGCATTTTTGAATGGACACTTGGAGGAAGAGATTTTCATTGAACAACCGGAAGGCTTCCAACTTGAAGAGGCAGGTGAGAAAGTTTATCTATTAAGGAAGGCCTTGTATGGACTTAAACAGGCTCCTAGAGCTTGGTATAGCAGGATCAATGAACACTTGAGCACACTTGGTTTCTTGAGAAGTATGAATGAACAAACCTTGTATATAAGGCAAGAGGAGAATAAGATGATCATCATCTCATTGTATGTAGATGATCTTCTGATCACAGGAGGCTGCTATGTAATGATCAAGGAGGTAAAAGATAAATTGAGAAAGGTATTTGAGATGACTGATTTGGGGGAAATGCACTATTTTCTTAGCATGGAAATATTTCAAACTCAAAATGAGATATTTGTTTGTCAAAGGAAGTATGTTAGGAAGATGTTAAGGAAATTTAATTTGGAGAATTGCAAGGCAATAAGTACTCCCTTAGTGCAAAATCTAAAGCTAATAAAAGATGATGGATCTAAGAGGATTGATGAAAAAATATATAGGAGTATGGTTGGATGCTTGCTGTACCTAACTTCTACCCGACCAGATCTTATTTTTGCTGCCAATATCCTATCTAGATTTAGGCAGGAACCAAGTGAATTCCATTTTCAAGTTGTAAAAAGGGTGCTGATATATGTGAAAGGAACTGAAGATCTAGGAATTTTGTTCAGAAAATCAGAAAACTTGGCATTAACTGGATTCACAGACAATGATTGGGCTGGCTCGAGTGATGACGTGAAAAGTATATCTGGTTATGTGTTTTATGCTGGAATAAGTGTTGTATGCTGGAGTGCTATGAAACAAAAAACAGTTGCTCAATCGATAGTAGAGGCAGAATACATAGTAGCTTCAGAGGCTACTAATCAAGCAATATGGCTAAGGAAAGTTATGGAGGATCTTCATCACAAGCAAGAGAAAGCCACTGTTATTTTTTGTGATAATCAGTCGGCTGTGGCTATGGTGAAGAACCCGGTATTTCATGGAAGGACAAAACATATTAAGATCAAATATCACTCAATAAGGGAGGCACAAGACAGAAAAGAAGTCCAGCTGATGCATTGTAGTTCTGAAAATCAGTATGCTGATATTTTCACTAAATCCTTGCCTAAAGGAAGATTAGAAACATTGAGAAAAAGTCTTGGTGTTTCCAACAAAAGTGTTAAAGGAGGAGTGTTGATAATTGTGTGCCACTTTTGTTGTTATATTTTGTATTAATTATATGTATTAAATCAGTACTTGTGATGGTTATTTTTGTGTATTACAATGTCCATCAGAGTATGGTATATTCAGTCAACAAGTAAGGTGATGTTAGGTGGAAGTTGTTGGCTAGAAACATGGTAGAAAAACTTTTGTAATATACATATATATTTAGAACCAGTCGATTATGTATGTGTGGCTGATTATTTTCATATTAGTTTTCAAGTCTTTCTCTTCCACTTTGTGAATCATATTCCATCACAAACACCATCTGGTTTTGTATTTCAAAAGACAATAACTGAGATGTATACCTCGTCTTTCTGACCCGTCAATGCCTTTGCCAGAGCATTTACTTCAAAAACTTTTTGGGCAGCAAATGCAAGCCATGATTTAATTTCTGTGTCCAGCTTAGGTTCATTAATCAGATCGACAGCAGTGTGGAGAAGCGAGCAGGATGTGGAGACAACAAGCTTATCTGTTTCACCAAAATCATTAGAAAAATGTGTACATATAAGCAAAACTTAAAAAACTAGCAGCAAAACATTTAGACAACTTGCCCTTCCCCACAATGCCTTCTAGAGACTTCAGGGTGATGAGAGATGTGTCCAGATCATTAGCCCAAATGTTTCGTCCATCAACCACTCCTGCAAACAGGTACTTTCCAGAAGGGAATCCACTTTTTATTAAATTCAAAGTCTTGGTGCCACGTACCAAGTCAAAACCAAAAGCAGTAACTCCCTTCAGAGAGGTAAGGGTTTTAAATGCATCCCGGGGGATATCAGCAAAGTAGGTCTCAACAAGAACATCAAGTCCAGACAGACTTGACTCAAGTTCAGCATAGGCCTTAGTGAAGGCTTCCAATTGGTGAGATTCAAGATCCATCACTAGAGTGGGCTCATCAAACTGAATCCATAAAGCACCAGCTGCCTTCAACTCAGCAATTACTTCCCTGAAAGGGCATTGCACATTTGGATGAAGATTCAGATAAGCAAAATGAATATGGAGAAGACACCATAAGAACAAACTGAAAACCTAATTGCTCTTACTTGTAGATAGGAAGAATTTGGTCCAGAAGAGATAGAAGAGGGAAAGTTTTCTCAACACCCTTGGCAGGCTTTGAGAGCAACAAGTATGTAACAGGGCCAACAAGCACTGGAATGGTATCTACGCCAATCTGCATGAGGGAAATGAGATCAGTTACCAGTATGTAAAATGATATTTTTGTTGATCCTTAAGTCCAGAATAATTTATGAACTATAAAGTGTTCATAAGCATTGTTGGCAGTAAGCTAAAATAGTCCATTTGTTAATGGAAGTTTTTGGTTGCCACTTTTACATGTTTGATTAGTATGGAAAATGTTTTCCTTATTTTGAGAAAAACAGAACCCTATCTCCCCAGAGAAAATGTTTTCCTCAAATAAAGGAAAACTAGGCATATTTTTTAAATGTTGGAAAATATTTTTCATGGAAAAAATGGCAATTAAACACTCCAAATGTCGAAATTAGGATGGAAAAAGGCCATTCTCCATGGAAAATTTTCCAATCAAATACAGGTTTTCAATATGAGAGGCTTATGTATCTTTCCTTTGCTTGTTTTTCTTTTTTCAATCCATTTATCATTGTCATGGTAAAAAGAAATTATTGCTTAGTTAGTAATATTGTTCGGTAGGCTTAATATATACAGCCATATGGCCACTCACTAATATGTGGTGAATGTGAACCTCCTTTCGGGAGACTCTGTTCTAAAACATTTTAAGATAATCCTGCGATAAAATAATCTAATCTATATAAGTTAAATCTATTCAATTGGCTGCCCCTTTTCCACTGACCATGTATAGGCCACGGTTCAGAAATCACTATTTTTCAGAAGGGAAATTGCTGCTCAAACAGGGATAAAATCTTGGGTTTGGACCCAGGGTCGAGGTTTGTCAATTGCACGGGCCCTACGTGATTGAAGATCAAGGGTCGAGGGTGCCATGTGGCCAGTTTGACCATTAAAAATATCATGCAATAACCACAGGTTTGATTTTTGAGGGGGCTTTTTATAAGAAACATAAAATTATTTTCCTACCATAGTTTTATTTTGTTTCATTTACTTTTAAATTGCACTAATGATCTCCAACCTTGGCTCATAGTTATATCTCCAACATTTTCTTTGGTGCACTCTTATCCTTGGCATTCTTTGGTGCACTCTCATGCGACATAATATTTGCCCCTTTTCCAAAATGCACCAATATAATGTTTGGATATAAATCGTCATCAATAAAAAAATGTACTAATTAATAGAAGATTGTAAATAAAAATACGATTAAAAAGGGGTTGGAAACATTAGTGCCACAATAAACAAATATAAGAGAAGTTTATGCAATTATAATTGGTGCAAGAATCGAAAATAGTAGAACCTCCCATAAACCAAAAATAATAATAATAATAATAATAATAATAATAATAATAATAATAATAATAATAAATTATATTAATAAAATAAAGAAATAAAGAAATGGAAATATAAAAAGACAACAAAAAGCATCGCCATCCAAGTACGAAGAAGCTGACTTTGTCTATAAAACTAAAGCTAAGATAATTAAATTATTGAAAGTTGTGAATTGATTATAAACCTACTAGTTGGGCCACCTATACCCCTCAAGTCATTTTAGCCTTGATGATATTCGTTGCATAATGCAAGTGCCTCGACTAATGACTCATAATTAAATCTATACCACAAGGCTGTTATGCTCCCAAATTAGGCATAAAAGTTTGAAAGCTCCAAATACCAATTTTTGCGGCTTCTACTCCGTTGATCGTCTATTAAGAGCTAAATTCGTTAAAAGAGACACTTCTAAATTTTTATATATAATTAAATCTATAGGAATCTCGAAGTCCTAAATAATTTGGATTTTTAGCCTATTCTATTTTGATAGTTCTACATTAGAATATGATTCTTTATCAGTAAAATTGGGAATTTTCTTTTTCGAGGTATGGTTGATAATGATCTTCATTTCTATATTTAATTTAAGAAAAACACTCAGATACACATCAAAGGAAATGGGTATAAACTATAAAGATAAAAACCTCATATACGTTGCCAATTTCTAGCAAAGAAGAGTTCGAAACAAAAAGAGTACTTGTAAACAGTATCGGATAGCACTTAGAGATGGATTTAGGTGGGGCTGGGCTGGGCTGTAGCCCCCCTCCTCGACCTCAGGCCCAATAGCTTTTTTTAAGGTATTTTTTATTTTTTTATTTTTTGTAAAAAACCATTTTTTTATGTGTAAAATTTTTTTTTTCGCGTAGTTGTCCGGATTGAAATTTTATAGTCTGGTCTTAGATCAAATCCTGGATCCGTCCCTAATAACACTTGACACTGCAACACAACAATTTATGTACCAAACGTGCCAAAAGCATATCAATTCCATTCTTCATTTTACTTATCTAAATAATGCTTCAAAAACTTGAGTCAATCATTTCTTTTCCTTGACTGCATTGTTTTGCCTCAAGTAAGGTCCGTTTCCAATACTTGAGGATATTATTATGTTGTCCTTTTCAAAATGATCACAGTTTTTAAGAAATGTGAATTTGTCACAATAAATAAATAAATTTAATTTGTATGATGCAACTTTAAGAGTTCTAAAATTTTCTCCATGTGTTTGTGTCTCTTCACAACGACTTTGGAAACTATTAATTATAATCTACTTCGTGTCTACCTAATAGTATACATCATGTTGTGGATTATTCCACAATCGACTCTTGATCGATCACATCATGATCAAATTATTGATTTTTTTTTTCTTAGTCCTTCATATGCTTAATGCTTTTTTTTTTTTTTTTTTTTTTAA